AGTGCGAGAATAACACCATTGGTTGTCGTGTCAGACGGCGTGTCGGATGTGTCGAAGCAGTCGCGGGCGTTGACGGGAGTGGTGACCAAACTGCTGGACAACTTCGGCTTCATCGACGACAGCGTCTTCTTTCAGTTGAGGTAATGATTGGTTTGACGGAAGGCTCTCTTTGGGGCACTTCTGGCCAGTTATGTAACAATAGACTCATATTTTGATGAAAAGCTAATAAAATGAGTGATTAATGAATAAAATTCAATAAACTGTTGAATAATTGAATGGTTGGACACTTGACTACCAGTGCGGTGAAGGGCGAGGAGGTGTTGGTGGGCGATAAGGTGTACTGCGAGTGCTCTTATTCGGATCACTTGCCCTTCAAGTGGAACGCCACGAAAGTCCATTTGGTCCACACCGGAGGCCAAAGACAGCCTCAACCCATCCCTCCGCAGACGACGGCCCAGACATCGGCTCCAGTGGTGGCCACCACTTACCTCCAGCATCGGCTCCAACAGCAGCAGCAGTCACGCGGCGACGAGTCCGCGATGGGCAGCACTTCTCAGAACTACTACTCGAGTCAATCGGTTTCGGGCGCCTCCTATGCCTCCCAACAGTCGTTTGACTTCTCGAAAGCACAGCAGGCGGTGGCCGCAGCCCAACAGTTGGCCAGTTATTACGGCGGCGGCCAACGCAACGATAACAACACCAATAGCTTCAGTCAATTGCAATACACTTCGACTCCAGGTTTGCGTCGCCTTTCAGTTGCCTCTCAATTGACACTCAATTTGAACGTTAGGTTCGGCTTTCGTTTCCTCCGCTCTTCCCTTCACTCAACAGATCCAACAGAATCTGTTGTCCACTCAGTCGCGAACCGCCACACAAAACAACTACAAGTCCAGTGCCTCGCGTTGGGAACGGGATGAGAGACCCAATCGCTCGGAGGACAGGTTCCGCGCGCGAGACGGCGGCGACCGTCCCGCGCGTCTCAATGACGCCAACCGTAAGAGAACGGATTCGCGCGATCGCACGGCCGGTCCCAAAGAGGGAAGGGATGAGTTCGGGCGCGACCTCCGCGGCGGCGATAAAAGCAAAGACAAGGAGAGGGAGAGAGAGCGCGAAAAGATTGAACGCGAGAGAGAGCGTCGGCTGAAGCGCTCGGAGTCTCCGAACAGCATAAGCAGTCAGAACGTCGTCCGGACGCCCAGACGGCGCTACGAACCCCTCAATATACCCAAACTCGCGATCCTCAAGAGTCCGCTCAATGTCTATGACATAAAACAGCGATATTCGGCGAACCTTCACGTGCCCTCTGACCTCAAAGAAGTTGTCGTTAACTCCAACTTCATTCTCAACATCAATGATATCCCAAAACCGGTCACTTTTAGAGTGATTGAAGTGAAAGACGAGAGTAAGGCTAAGGCAGCGAAAGAGTCTCCGAAAAAGACTGATTCCCCCAAAGAGAGCAAAGAGAAGGCGAGTAAAGAAGGAGATAAGAGTGAGACCATAACTGTAGAAGAGACGGCCGAAGAGGAGAACAAGAGTGAGACCAAAGAAGTCGAAGAAACGAGCGCTAAGACTGAGAAGATAGAAAGCAAAGAGAAGGTATCCGTTGAACATCCCATCGTCTCTTCAAAGCAAACGTACAAATATGGCGTCAAAGTCCTCATCATTTCATTGCCGTCGTTGAGCGATATATACGACCGTATCTTTGGCTCTGATTTCGACGCCATTAGTACCGGAAGTAAATCATATTTCTTGCATTTCAACAAACTTTTGGCGTTTTTGGTGTCAAGAAATTCAAACGACGGCTTCTCTCTTATTGGCGGCAAATTCAGCGCCCAATTGGATGGATATCTGTGAGTCGTGTAGAATGTGTTTGTTTTCATAAATTGATTGTTTTCTGTGTCTAAAGACCCGACTCTGAAGAGCCAAATCTGATCGCAACGGCTATTCGTATAGTCGGAGAACAAACGGGAATGAATTTATCGAAATGTGGGAAATGGAGATTAATCGCCACTTTTATTTACAACCGGTATTTATATGAATTACTCTGTATTGGATAGTATTTACTGAAATGATTGTCATTTTTAGCGACAATTCTGTCGACCCAATGACCCCTTACCTGGAAGTGAATCGCGTGTATATGCCTGACGTGTGGTCCGCTTTCGATGGCATTTACGAGTCCTTAAAACAGACGACATCTGCGAATGATTTAGAGAATGATAATCAATTTGAAACTGTTTTAAATAATGATAACTTAGAAAATAATAGTCAAGTTATTGTCACTAATGATAAAAATGAGTTAATCAGTACTCAAGAAAACGGCTCTTTAGACGCTGTCGTCGATGAAGCCGAAGTTGTCCAGCAGTTTGGTCACCACTCCCGTCAACGCCCGCGACTGCTTCGACACATCCGACACGCCGTCTGACACGACAACCAATGGTGTTATTCTCGCACTGAAACACATTCACCGCATACTCACGACTCTGGTTCTGACCGGTGGACAGCATTTGCAACGAGAGATGTCTTCAACACGTCTTCGAGTAATCAACGGATCAGTGGATCAATGAATGCGATCAACAATTGACGCCATTTTCAAGCCATAGACCGCTATTGCCTTCAATACAGGCTTTCATTCATGAATTGAGTGTCAGTATGCATTAATAGCGGATAGCATCCATATATAAAGGGAACTAACGCATGTACAGATATAACAAATATTTGGTACCATAACATATAGATTTTTACATAGGCTATCCGCTATTAATGCCTTTTGCCACTCAATTGTTTCCTATATTCCAGTCCTATATCGCACTCAACGTCTGCGCCCTTCACCGCACCCCCCGATCCCAGCCCTTCGCCCCCCGGACTCTCATTCACCCCCAAGTGGTCACAAATAACGTGTCGTTTTCAATGTAAACAAACAAATTGAATGCCATTTCCTCCTCTTCTGGTCTCGCATTCACTCATTCATTGATTGTCTTCTTCGCCACCAAACACTAGTGTCTCAAACCGTGTCCAGCGATGGGAGCCGTGTCTTCGTGTTGTCTGCCAAACAAGTCGGACGACGAGATCAACGAAAGGACACACATTCTCGACAATCCGATCGCTTCGCCCGAAGGTATGTCCTCTGCCTCTGTGGCCGCCGACCACGTGTTGACCCTCTGGTCTGTCCTCAGGTCTCAATGACTCGCATTACAACCTCTCGCCGTCAGTCATGTCTCCCTCTTATGGGGCACTCAATGGTCGCACAGAACAGAACCAACTGAACAACACTTTGCATAAACTGGTCGCCAAAGTGATAGACGTCTCGTCCATCGACAACAACATAGAACAGAGCGATTGGAACGAAAGACAGCGGACTTATGGCCAGAGATTGGCACAAATCAAGAGACCGCTCGTCCTTAAGTCCAAATACCTGTCTTCACACCAAACGCACGGTCCGTCTCACCTCTGCCTCACTATCACTGCCTCTCTCTCTCTCTCTCTCTCTCTCTCTCTCTCTCACTCANCTCTCTCTCTCTCTCTCTCTCTCTCTCTCACTCACTCACTCACTCACTCACTGTGTCTTGTCTTTCAGTTCCGTTAATCAATCGCAACCTTCAGTTGGACCCCATCTCCGAAGACGACCTCAATCTCATCAACTATTTCAGCGAAAGGGCGAGTCTTTCGGTTCACAACGGATTCAAAATCCATTGCGAGGAGTCGTTTGTCGTCCAATTCGACCCTTAGTTCTCCTTCCCCTCAAAACTAATTGTATTTCTCTGTAATTATTGTCAAAAGATTTTTCTATTTTACTAATCATTCAAAGAGTGTTTTAAAACTAAATTATTGTCCTTTTAATGAATGCAATGAAAGTTATGATTCATTAAGTGCTGTCTCTTTTCTATGCAACGCCTGTCGAGGGGTTGAGTGCGTTAGCGGACAGACACATGAGTGGTGTGTGTGTTGTGCTGACAGTGCTCTCAACGGTTGTCGAGAAGTGATAACCAGAATATGCGATCACTTCTGGAGACAACTCTGGTTTGCTTTCATTGAGTCGACGGCTCTGACGTTATTTATGAGTTGAGTGTTGTTTTGACTGACATTTGACTGAAACTGTGATTTCATTGGAGTTGCGATCGCTTTATGAGAGCCGAAGACAGCGGACATGAGTTCATCGGATTTGGTTTGGAGTCTCAAGAATGGAGACTTGGATTCAGTGAAAGAACTGTTCGACTCGAAGGTAAGTGACCACTGATTGCACGACAAGTGAGTGGACTCATGGGTGTGTGTGTGAGCAGGAGGTGGACGCGAACGCCTCCCTCGACGGCCGATCGCCCATCCATTACGCTGCCGATTACGGCCACAAAGACATCATTGAGTACCTGATCGGCAAAGGCGTGGACCTCAACGTGAGTGTCATCTGCGGTGTAGTGACTCTCGTGTCTCATAACTGATTGCTTGACTCACAGGCGGTCGACAAACACGGCATAAGCCCTCTGTTGGCGGCCGTATGGGAGGGACACACGGAATGCGTGCGACTGTTGATCGCCAGCGGAGCCAATAAGACGGGACAGACTCCCGACGGGAAGTCCTATTTGGAAGCGGCGGAGAAGCCCGAAATTAAGTCACTCTTAAAGTAGAGACAGTTTTCATTATTTTATAGCTTTTTTCAAAGCGTAAGTCAATTGTGATTTAAATTGGGATTAATTTCCGTCAAAACAATTTTATACACATTTATAACACTATAATCGGTCGATAATTATATATTAATTATATATTAATTTATTCTTATATTATGTAACGAATGAACGGATTTTTACTCAATTCTTAATTTAATTGCCGTTTAAATCCGAGTATTAATCGAAAACTTTTATTACAAATTTCAAAGAAATTATTTATTTATCGAAATAAAGAGAAATTAAAATCAGAAAATGATTTGAATGTCATGGAAAGGAAAGCCTTTGAATATGTTTTGCATATTTTTGGCACTTTTTTAATACAGAGTTAACGGTAGCAAGAATTTGGATAAAAAGTCTTTGACTAGAAATTTAAGATTTGTTCCGAAATTTGGTCTAAAAGTCAGATCTCGACGAAAAGGATTTATTGCCACAGATTTGTTGCACTGATTCGTTGAAAATAGAAGCCTTTGTTATATAAATTATCACTAATTATAGCAAAACTTTGTGTAAATAAATAGAAAACAGGAATTCGTTTCCAAACAGTTTTGTGACCGAAGTTTGGATTTCTTGAAAAACCTATAAAAACAAGTACTGAATGTCCGATCGTTCAGAACTCTTCGTGTCGCAGAAGCGCGTCCCCGAAATCCGTGGCCTGACTGCCGACAAACACGTCATAACTGTCCAGTATTTCCGCTTTCGTTAACTTTGAGTCCTTTAACACAACATTTGCGTCAAAACTGTCGTCAAAACTGCACTCAAATGTCACTCAAACCTGATTGGTGTCCGCCTCGCGAATCAGGTGTTTGGCCTCGGCTTCCGAGTGGTCGTAATCCGGAGGAATAATCCACTCGCGGATCTCGTCTCTGTCCATAAAGCCGTCTTTGTTCTTATCGCGGATCTCTCGGAATTGATCCTTCTCTCTGATGACCCAATCGGGCACTTGATCTCCGGTGGCGTCCGGAGCGTACATATCGCTGATGTATTCGTCGACCGAAACCATTCCGTCGCCGTTTTTGTCGATGTCTTCGAGGGTCTCGTCGACCACAACATCGCGCATGTGTTGCGCCTCTTCGGGGTGAAGAAAGTCCATGAATTCCTCTTTGTTCAGAGCGTTGTCTTGGTTACGGTCGGCCAGATTCCAGCGCCTCTCGTCTCGTCTGCCGACAAATAGGAGGTTAGAGAAGACATTCACACTAAAGACTCTTTACTTAAGCATTTCGCGGTAAGTGTTGGAGTCGTCCGTCGAGACCGTGTTGTCCGCCAACTCATCCAAGAAGCCGAACGTCCGCTTCTTGTAGTCGTCCCACGAGAGCGCAGTCACCGACTCGTCGTCCGCCGTCTGTGTCTTCCACTGGCGCTCGACGTCGTCTACGATATACTTCTTCTGCGAGATGTGGATCCAATCCTTGAGCTCTTCGGCGGTCACGAATCCGTCGCCATTCTTGTCGATTCTGTCCACCATTTTGGACAACCGTTCTTTGCTCTCTTCGGGCGACAACTGATCGAACTCTTCGGCGTCTTCGCCGAGAAACGCCTTGTGATCGTAATCGGCGTTATGGACGCGCTCTCCGCCGCCGTAATGACTGTCATCCGAGTCCACTGTCTTCGGACGCGTCTTGTGGTCGTCTTTGTCGGGAATCGCGAGACCGAAAACCAGCGACAGGACGACGACAATGAGGAGGACTTCGGGAACGAGAAGACAGTATTTCATGACTTTTTCCGTTTGAATGACAACTCATTGGCGAACCATAACATTGAGTACACGTGTAGTCCCTCTCCACGCATGCGTCCAACGCGTCAACCCTTCGCTCCGCCCGAACCCCCGCTTCCCCGCCGCCCACTCACCCACTCGGCGGTCGTTCACACGAGAGCCCACACATGACGGCCCACGAGTGCCCATAGAGGGGAGGCTGGGCTTTGCCTCCTCGCAGCCACTCTTAGGCAAGAGTTTAAAGAATCGGAAAATTTCATCACAACTTGTCCTCCAATTGCGAGACATTCGCCACATTTGACCCCTTCTTGCACTCAGTCTTCGCGAAACCCTTTGGCCTCTAATTCCTGTTTACCGACAAAAGACGTAAAGTTTTCAAAAGTGATTAGTCATTGGCAGTGATATCCCGTGTGAACCCTTTCCAGCCCTTGTGTCCAATGAGTGGACATTTGGTGGGAAGTGACCACCGGTTGGGAGACTTTTCCATCAAATGGTCATCTCTTTGGCAGTCTTTGGCCGAAGTTCTTGTAAAAGTTGCGAAGAAGTGCTTCTGTTCGTCGGCGCCATCTGTTGGCTCGAAGAGCGACTCGAAGTTGTTTTGCAATCGATTTGAAGCGAAATCCCTTTCAGTGTTTGAAATGAAAACTAATTGAAAACAAATCGCGAATTCATAACAACTGAGCGTTTGTTTAGTGAATGTTTGAGGAAATAAAACACATTTTCATTGCAAACCATAATTGCATTGCTTTCGCACTCCTCTCCCAATCCTAGACTCGGATACCTCTTGTAATCATCACTTAATGTCGGAATCAAACCCCAAAAGCGATCCCATCGTCGCCACCGAAGATGTCTCGCAATCGTTGGTCTCTTTGCTCTTTGCACTCCTCTCCCAATCCTAGACTCGGATACCTCTTGTAATCATCACTTAATGTCGGAATCAAACCCCAAAAGCGATCCCATCGTCGCCACCGAAGATGTCTCGCAATCGTTGGTCTCTTTGCTCTTCGGTTCGCCCGTCAATACAGTCCTCACTCTTGTGATCGGTTTTCTCGTCTATAAACTCATATCCCGAGGACGACAGCGACGGAACAGATGTAAGTCTTGTCACTCATGTATGACTGTCGTCACTGACGACCACTTGTTGTGCTCTTCGCCCGACAGCCGACTCCGAGGAAGAGGTCTTCAAACTGCCCGAACCGCTGCCGAAACACGACATGACTTTGGATGAGCTGAAGAACTACGACGGGAAGGGCGCCGACAAACGCATCTGCATTGCAATCCTCGGCAAAGTGTACGACTGCACCAAAGGTTGTCTTTTTTGTACTAAACCTCTGATAAGATAACGACTCGACCTTCACGTTGAGTGCAATGCGGTCTCAGCTCTGTCTTTGGCTCTATCTCTGTCTCTCTCTCTCTCTCTCTCTCTCTTCAGGCCATCGCTTCTACGGTCCGGGCGGTCCGTACGCGCCTCTGGCCGGACACGACGCCACCCGCGCTTTGGCCCACTTCGACGTGGAGGCCGTCAAAGAGGAATGGGATGACGTCTCGGATCTGACGCCGTATCAGATGTCGAGTGTCAACGAATGGAAGGAACAGTTCTCCGAGCGATACGATTACGTCGGAAGACTTGTGAGGGATTCGAGCGAAAAGCAGGACTCCATTGGAGAGGAGGACGAGGAGGAAGTGGTCGACGAGAAGACCGAATCCTAATCGCTATTTGTATCCACTTTTCCACTGAAACGACTATTTTTGCAGAAATGCCTCAAATGTCGCCCTTTTTTGTTATTCGCATTAATTTTACTGATTTTACGGATATTTTTAAATCGTTTTTATATTCGGTTTAGTTTTCTAAAAGCGATTTCTTTTCTCTAATTCGATGTATATTTTGTTGTCAAAGAAAACAAATAAATTATTTTATAATACGTTTGGCGGGTCTTTACGGGAGGCCTACAAAGGCCTTTACGGGAGGCCTACATATGGCGCATAAAATGTCTGCTTTTCGTGAATTATTTGCGAAATTCTTCACTTTTTGTTGTTTGCAATGATTTGAACGAAAAGTTTGGATGACTTGAGGTTTGAATGAAATAACGAAATGATTGAGACATTTGTTATGAAAGGAAACGTCGAGAAAAGAGTTTGAAGTAAACGAAAAAGTGATGCAAATATCGATTCACTGCTTATTCTGATACTCTTATAGTCATTGAAATCATTGAAAACTGGTTTCACTTTCGGACCAAACGGCGAATAAACAAAATCCTATAAAACAGAGAATCGGTTCAAATCTTGGACAGAGTTTACGATTTTCTTCTCATTTGAAAACGACTTTAAACCAGATTTCCGATCATTTCCTCGCATTTCGTGGCAATTGTTCCCAAAATACAGGAGTTTTCCGTTACTTGTATTCAAAGTTGTCTCGTATTCGCGACAATCAATAAAATAAAGAGATTTTCGTATAATTTGTGTTTCATTTCAATGTCTTTTCAATTCTGAAATCCATTTCGAAGTCAACTCTCACTCAAGACATCGGAACAGCTCTCAAGAGTCGGAAGAGTGGTCTCCGAGACCAACAAACCTATAGAACCACTGCTTGTGTGCACTCATTGTCGGCGTGAATGCGAGTCCATCGACGGGCGGAACGGATCCACACTTTGACACCACTACTCAAGACATTCCTATTTCCGCGCGAATCGCTTCCAGCCGTCTGTCGGCTGTCCGTCAGCGCGAAAGTCGCCGAAGAAGTGGACGACAGGAGTGTTGGGGACGTCATTGATGTCTGAGAGTGTGCTTTGAGTTCATTGTTGTGTTTGAGAGCAAAATGTCTGAAGCGTTGACTCTTTGACGACAAAAATGTCTTTCACTTAATCCGCGATTATCTCTACGAAGACAATGTCCAACAGACCGGCCGACGGTCCGCGCGCTCCCTCTCTGGGCATCACTTCTCCCATATCTGTGACGGAACCGACGGACAGCGATATGCAGGCGTCGCGAGAGCTCGAGGAATGTCTTCGCGCGTTCGGTCTCTTCGAGTCGGATCAGGAGATGGAGCACCGGATGAACGTGTTGTCCAAAGTCAACCACATCGTCCAGACGTGGATCAAAGACATGTCGGCGAAGAAGATGCCGAAACAGAACGCGGAACTCATGTCGGGAAAGATCTTCACATTCGGCTCCTATCGGCTCGGAGTGCACACCAAAGGCGCGGACATCGACACCCTTTTGGTGGCGCCGCGACATATCGAGCGCTCCGACTTCTTCGACACCTTCGAGAAGCTGTTGTCTGCGATTCCCGACTGCGAGTACGTGCGAGCCGTCGAAGAGGCGTTCGTTCCGGTCATCAAAACCAAGATCGAAGGCATCGAACTCGACATCCTCTTCGCGCGGCTCGCCCTCAAGAACATCCCTCCCGATCAGGACCTCCGCGACGGCGCGCTCCTCAAGAATCTAGACGAGAAGTCCGTGCGATCGCTGAACGGCTCGCGCGTGACCGACGACATCCTGCTTCTGGTGCCGAATCACGAGTCCTTCCGTCTCGCGCTCCGAGCCGTCAAACTGTGGGCCAAAAAGCGCGGCATTTATTCCAACGCTTTGGGATATTTGGGTTTGTCTTCGCTTTTATGCGATTGTCTTTCTATACGTCTATACTTCTGCTCTCACATCAGGAGGCGTCTCGTGGGCGATGCTGGTGGCGCGCACATGTCAGCTGTACCCGCGCGCGTCGGCCGCCACTCTGCTCCAGAAGTTCTTTCTGGTGTTCCGTCAGTGGCCGTGGCCTAAGCCCGTGCTGTTGCGCCACAACTCGGAAGATAACCCGAACCTCGGGTTCCCGGTGTGGGACCCGCGCATCAATCCCGCCGATCGCTACCATTTGATGCCAATCATTACGCCTTCATATCCGCAACAGAACTCCACTTTCAACGTCTCCTCGTCCACCAAATCCATTATGACTAACGAGTTCTCGCGCGCCTCCGACTGCATCGACGAAGTCATGAGCGGTAAGTCGTGTGCGCGTTGTCTTTGCCCTCCATCCTCATCTCTGTCCTCCGCAGGCAAGACCCCGTGGACGACGCTCTTCGAGACGGTCCACTTCTTCACGAAATACCGCCACTTCATTGTTCTGCTCGCGACGTCCAACGCCGAGTGGATCGGTTTGGTTGAGTCGAAGATCCGAATCCTCGTCCAGAATCTGGAACGCCACCGATGCATCTCTTTGGCTCACGTCAACCCCAAGTGCTACACCCGCGCAGTCATTGTTCCCGTTGCGCAGCCGCCGCCCGAAGACCCGCTTCTGCCCGACACGAACACGAGTGCCGACGGAGAGAGCAAAGGAGAGGAGGCGACAGCGGAGCCGAAGACGACGATAGAGGCGACGACAGAGACGACGACGGAAGTGGAGACCATGTGGTTCATTGGTCTCGAGTTCAACAAAGCCGAAGGCATTAACGTCGACCTCACGCAAGACATCAAGAACTTCGTGGAAACCGGTAATAAATACGCGCGCTTTGTGTGTGCAGTGCTCTCATTGGTCTACTTTTGAACCCTTAGTGACCAATACGGCAAAGTTCAGCAAATTCTTCAAACCCGAGATGACGATCGACACGAAACACGTCAAGAGAAAAGAGTTGGAGAAGTATTTGCCGCCAGAAGTGTTCAAATCGACCAAAAGCTCGAAGACCTCGAAAGTATGTCCAGAAATGGTCGCAAATACTACTAAAAGCGTTCGTTTCAATCGCAGGCCAACAGTTCGGACGACAACGCCGTCACCAAAGCGCCCGCCTCTACGACCACTCCGGCCGACGGAACGCCCGAAGAGGGCAACAAAGAGGTGATGCCCGCGGACTCGACTAATGGCGGACCAGTCGTAGAAAACGTGTGTTCGAGTGATAAGTGTGTGGAGAGAAGTGTTTTGACGAAAAGCCTTTCCTTTCAGAATAACTGCCAAAAGAGAGCTCTCGAGGAGGAGAGCGACAACTCGAGTCCCACGAAGACTT